AAAGCCCAAAGGTTTGGTACATGGAATCGGGCCTAGTATGTATCTTGTAGTTTGACGATTTTAACCAAACATTCTTTCCAATCGCTTATGTTGTGCTGTACTATAAGCCGCGCTTCGCACGAATGATGTTGCCTTATCTCTCTTATTGGTTCCGTACGGTCGCAGATAAATAACTCGCGCAATTTCTTACAGCTGAAGACTTCGAGAGCCGTTATTGCCATGTATGTGTTGATTCTTTTATCAATGGCCATGTATTCGTGCTCCGGCCATATATAGGCATAAGTATTTGAACTGACTAGGCCTTCCTGCTTTTTCAGTAGGGGAAAAATTCTGTATAAATCGGCGTAGTCTTTATCTAATAGCGGGATGCTTATGTGGTATATTAACTGATTGTTTTGTATCAAAATTGTTAACCTAGATATATCTATTATTTCAAGCGGACTTATCTGAGATCTTGCTCCCGGAAAAATTAGCTCAGGTCTGGCTAGTTTTGCATGTATTCTGAAGTTATCAAAAATCGCAGGTGATATGAGCCTCGGATGTACTAGTCCTTTTGCAGCAAAGAGGACTGCATTTATTATAGAGTCGCAGTCTGTCATGTATTGCTTCACGCTTCCATCCAGTGTATTTATAGCTGCAATTGTTGAACTATCTATTTTCTACAAGTCGTTTATGTTTTCCAACTTCTTTATATCTGCTTTTATTTCTTGTACTCTGTCCTCTACATCGCTTACTCTGTTAGTTTAATTTTAAAATTGGGTCCTAGCGAGAGGTGGAATGATAAGTCTATTTTTGTACGATTTTCCAATTCGTGCTGGTTGTAGCCAACGGGGAAATCTTTTCCGCGATTAATCCTGAATTATTTTGTATTTGTGTAATCGACCACTGTAGCTGTACTGGTACCTCCAATTGTGCCCTGCAATACATAAAGCTTTAAGCTACACATTGCGCACTACCGGCCCGTGCTTTAGTTTCTGTGGTAAATACTTGTCCTAACACTATTTATGCCCCATCGATATTTGTTTATGAAAGTGTATTTTCGTATGTCCCTTATCCTTTCTCTCATATTTCCCCTTTGTTCAGTCAGCGTTGAGATGCGAATGTGGCTCTCTCCTTACATAGAAGGTATACGATAGCAAACGTATTTTTTAAATTTTTTTTATTTGCTTTCTTTTTGTACTAATATTATTACCTATTTACTATTTTTGTTCATGTAAGTATTCATATAATTTTTCCCGTGCGGCTTTCGCCCTAAAACTTACAACAACAAAAAAAGGATATTTCCCATTATGATTCTTACGTTCCGCCTCTTTGCAAACTATTTCATAAACCATTTAAAGAGACAGAAAGGAGAGAAAAAAAATTCACCCGCGAGCGTGCCCTATGCGCGGCTCCTAATTACCTTTTTGAAGCCTAATATTTCGTACAGGCAATGGCAATAGCAGAAGCACTATTTTTACTACACGAGAAGGTTGTATATCGCATGTCAAGTCAGGAGTATAGCTCTACCTTTACATATCGTAGTGCTTATGCGCTGCTTAAAAGCTGTATGCTATATGATGAAATATTTATTACATCATTGTAGTGCTGAGAACAAAGAACAAATAAGTGCTAGTTGATAACAATCATACAGAGCTGCCAGCATTCGACATTTTTATAAAATTTTTGCGAAGAAGAAAGAAAAAAGAGAAGAGAAAGAAAAATTTCTTTTTTCCCGTTCTTCCGAGAAAATGTATTGAATACTACTTTCTTCTCTCTTAAATAGCTACAGCTCGTAGTAATTACATAAAATACTAGCCTAGTTGTAATTCCCTTATGCGCGCTGTTCAACATCCATACAAACGTGTTCGGAGGAAATGTACGCGTGTGTTGACATTTATGGGTAAGACGAGCAGATTGTTGAATCTACTTCGATCTGTCGTATCCTATCACGCTGTGTGTCATTCATAACAGAAAGGCGCATGTTGTGCTGCGGAATTTTTTTGTCTACCCCCCTTCCCTTCTAAGTTTCTTTATCTTTTCTCGCCCTGGACCTGTCGAGTTGCGTTCTCTGGATTTCTCTCCAGTGCTCTTTGGTTCTTTTACTTGTCAAGTATTCGGTGTCCGTTGGTTTCGGCCCTTGCTTATTCCATTCGACACACTTTTTTCCTTAAACGTTACTTCCCTTTTATTATTTCTCTCTTTCGTATAATATCATGTCATCCCTTTTTTCAAATGCGTCCGGTTTTGTGAGCCACCTCCAAGACTTCGTGAGCTTGCCTCACGATAGTACACGCAATCCCGGGTTCATGGTTGGAGATGGCAGCGTGTGTGCTGTCTTGGACAGCGCAGCGATGGAGGAGGCGTTGCTGTGCCGCGAATGCTCCCATGTAAGTACTGCTGAACGTTCTTTGTATTAATTAGTTCCTACGTGTAACCGTCTGTAAATTCTTTGCCTTTCTTCTTTAGTCCATTGTGCTGTATATCTGCCGGTAGGTGCCATCCATCGGTCGTCCCCGAGGTGCCTAACTTGTGGTCCTCGAGGGACAGACGGCGAATAAACCAATTATCTGCCCGACTCACGGAGCGGTAGGTGTCCTGCTAAATACGTCTACTTATTTATTTATCCCTTTCTTCCCTCATGTGTGCATCCCGTGATCTTCCTGGTTTTCGTATTACAGTTGGGGACGCGGTTGGTCGTCGACCCTTATGAGTTTTTCGGCCTCTCTCGTCTCCTTCGTCAGCCTGGATGGCCGTCCGATGCCCTGCCTCTGCCGGTGCAGAGGTATAAGTACCATGGAGGCGTCGCGTGCTGTGACGTCTACTGCCCGTCCGGGCAGTCGTTTGTGGTGGTATTCCAGGACTGCCCCCGGGGTCCCCCTCTGCCTTCTTCGGGCCGGGTCGTCCGAATCCGGTGTGACGTCCTGGAGTCCGGGACGTCCTATGCCGTCACGTTGGGCTGTGTGTGCCATGGCACCTTTCTAGCCCTGGTGGTCGATGTGGTGGCAGAAGATCCCGGCGGATTTCCCTTGGAAAGGTGGCCCTGCATCCATGTGAGTACTGGTTTTCTTCTTTTTTTTTTTTTTTTTTTTTTTTTTTTTTTTTGGCTCACGTTGATTTTACTATTTATTCTTGGATTTCCCCATTTTTGTGTAGGTGCAGCCCACTGACGCGACGGTGGGCTATTCGTTGTGAGTCGAGAGGCTGCGGCGCCCCCTTCTTGCACGAGCTGCCGCGGTGTCCTCGGTGCCCGGCCGACTTTGCCCGAACTGGGCTACGCCCAGCCTATGGCGGGAACGTCGGGGGCAGCCATCACGCGTCAACTCCGGGGGCAGAAACGAAGACGGGAGGATGCTTAAATGGGCAAATATAAAAAAGAGAGAAGAAAAAAAAACAAANGTGTCAACTATGTGTGGGTGTTATGTCGCGATCCCACGGAATTGAATCCAAAGTCTGCCTGGCGACTACTAGAAGCTGGTGCCAGCAGTACCGAACAGTTTGTCTAGTGAAAGTTGATAGGAAAAAGAACAAAAAATGTATGTAACATATTTAAAATAATTGATGCCAATGTCTGTGACTCGAGTGCGTCTTGTGTTCTATCGAATACATGTATAAATAGATAGGGATGATAAAGAATCAGACTAGATGTAGATGAATGCATGACGAAGCCTTGAGGAGCTCTATGTATATTTGACATAACTGTATATTCTGAGTAATGAATACTGTTTTTTTTATTACAAAATCAGTTTTTTTTTTCCTTGACTTAATTATTATATGCTTTTGTTGACTGCTTTAATCTAATAGATGATTTTTACTACATAAACTCTATACGCTTTTCTTTATCTCTAATTGCTGTGATAGAAAATTGTTCATTAGAGCTCCAATCAATAATATAAAGCGTTTTTAAAAATCTTCGTCACGCCAAAGCGGTCAAAGAGAATCTTTTTTTTTTACTATTTACTGTATTTATTATCCTAGGGACTGCTTTCCCCTTTTTGATTAACAAATTACTTGAATGAGGTAGCGCTGTATACGCCCCACTCTTGTGTAGCTCAAGTAATATGATATACTTAAGTCCTATTTTATTCGTTTACCATTTTCTCGATAATATTGCTCTTATCATTGCCTGTACTATTTGCTGATCTAACCCCTGTCTCTCCTTTCCTATGGTTCTTTCTATTTTTTACTTGTATTTTCGCGCGCGTCCGGAAGCCACGAAAATTTTTATCGTAACCCTAATTGATTCCTACATCCTATTATATTTTCGCGGTGCGTCCGGGGGCCGCGAAAATTGTAAGCGAAGTCGAATGTTCAAGTCTGTCTCTTCGTGTCCCTTACCCTGTTCGCATTCTCTGGTGGTGCCTTTACCATACATGCTATTTTGATTTTGTCTACGTGAGATACTCTTATTTCGTCACCTCTCTGTAGTTTTACATTTTTTTTGAGATAATCAATTCCTGTTATTTCATATGGGCCCTCGTATTGCGAATCATATGTGCCCCATCGATGGCTCTTTCAGCACATAAACCATTTCCCCCTCTAAGAAATATCTTGTATTCAGTTGGCGGTCATAGTAATACTTTGATCGGTATTAAGCCTGAACTTGGTTCATTGCTGCGATAGTTCTCATTTCTGTCAGGGTCTCAACTAACTCTTTGAAATATTTATCCGGCGTTTGGCCCTTAGGTGATAGTCTGATACTAGGTGGTGTTCTAGCTCTTTGTCCGAAAACTAATTCGTGCGGTGAGTATCCCGTACTCTGATGGTCCGTGGTATTGTATGAGTGCATGCACATAGGTAAATGTTCGTCCCAGTGATCATTTTGTTCTACATGTGCCTTGATATATTCCGTAAGAGTATGGTGCATTCTTTCGATGGCCCCGTTTGTTTGTGGGTGGAACGCTGTGCTATCCATTTTGTCTATTTTAAACAACCTTACAAAGTCGTCCATGCTTTTATTCATAAAGTGTGTGCCTCGGTCTGATAATAAATGTTCTGGCAGCCCAAAGTACGCTTTAAACTTATTTGTTATCGCTCTTAATGTTTCTTTGGCTGTTGCTCTCTTCATAGGTGCGAGAACTATACATTTTTGTTAGCCAGTCTTGTGTAGATAAAATATGTGCATACTGATTTGCTGAGGGTTTACTAATGGGCCCATAGAAGTCTATAAAGATTTTTTCGAACGGTCTACTCCATGTGTCGGTGATGAGCATGGCTTGCTTCGTTTTAATTCGGACGAGTTTTTTCGTCTGGCAAGATGTACATCCCAGGATGACTTGTCTTACATCTGGGTGCATGTTTCTCCAATCGTAGTCTTTGGCGATTCTATTGTATGTCTTATCCATTCCCCTATGCCCACCTATTGCTGCTTCGTGGTATTCTCTAATGATTTTAAATCTTTGATCTGCTGGTGAAATTACTAGAGTGTTCGTGTAAAATACTGCTGCTAGTCTAATATCTTTGAATATTTCCTCAAAGGTATCGACAAAGTATCCCCACTGGGTTAGATTGAGAATCGCTAGATCTCTAATAATTCCAATAGTTTTTATTTCGTTTGATACTACTACCTCTTTCAGGGCCTTAATACACATTTTAATGTTTGATTTAAGCGCCGTTTCTTAAAAGCGCTCTTTTACATACATGTGCACAATTTTTATTCTTCTTGCATTTGTCATTTCGGCTTCTCCTACACCTCTTTCTTCGTTATTCATACGTGTCGGATTAATATATCCTCTCTCGTGCAGCGCATCTATGACCTCTGTGTTGGGTACCGCCTCTGTTATTGTCATAAACCCTAGATCGTCTAAGTACTTAAATGGATGACCCTCAATCCTATTCAGTTTTTGTAATAGGGGTGGATCTTCCCCTCTTTTGGTGCCCATGGTGGCCTTGCTGTTGGTAGGCGTGTTCTGCACACTCTATTTTTTTCCGTCGATGGTGAGTGTATGACTGTGTTGGCTTCGTCCTCGCTCTCTGTTTTGCATAGCGAGTCATTCAACTCGTTGGCTTGCTCTCCTTCTTCCTCTGCTGTACTTTCATTGCTGTCATCGTCACTGCTTGTTTGCTGTCTGTTCTCTCCCCTTTTTCCGTATGCTTACTCGTATCCGCTGCACTTTCGGAAGTGTCTTGCTCCTTTTCTGAATGACTTTTGTCCTCCTTCCCTCGCTTGCCTCTGTCCACTCTCTTGTCTAGTTCGGACTTATGCTTACTTTTCTCACTTTCTTCGGTACTACTACGGTCTTTTTGTGAGGTCTCTACCCCTGACTTAAGTTCTGTATTTATCGCGCTAGAAACTTGTGTAAGAGGCGTATAATGTGCATTTTCACCTGCGCCTTATAGATGTAAATGGCCAAATTCACCGTCTGTCGTAGAAATGTAATGAGTATAAATATAATTTCCATTGGTTAATGCAAAATGTACACAAATGTTTTTCTTAAATTCTTGAGAGAACAGATAAGTACAATCGCTGTTCCCACACATTGTTTGTGACTCCAAAATTTCCTTTGTTTTTTCCGGCTCTCTGCAATTTTGTAATAAATTAGAATTGCGCAGAATCTTTCGTAACTCAGTAGTTGAGATGTCAAGTTCGTACAACCATATAAGGCTGTGAAACAAACAGTCTCCGGGTGGGTCGGATGGTATTTCTGATATTTTTGTCAGAGTACTATCAGGTTGTGAGCATTCACAAGTTTCCCTTCGCGTTTCGTCTTTTAAATATTCTATCCATTCATCTGGGGGTGCAACTTTTTCTAGCTGCTCCTCGCGTTCGTTTTGTACCGTGTTCTCATTTTTCTCTGACTGAGCCGTACTCCCCCCGTTATATGTGTTTTTGTTTACTTCGTCTCTTGTGCGTAGCGCTGCTTTGTCTGTCGTTACTATCTCGCTAGGCTCCCACATATCTATCCTCATTTTTGGTCTGCCTTATACATCTTGCTTTTTAATGTCGATCATAACTAGAGCCCGCAATTCATCAGACCTTCCCTCCAATAAGTCATGTATAATCGGCTTTTCTTGTTTGTCTGTTGAAAATTCCTTCGCTTGTTTCGTGCTTCCTTCTTTTTCTCCTATATCAGTTCTTTGCTCTTCTGTAATTAACTCTTGATTTTTGGTTGCAACGCTAGGTAATGGTGTGTCACAATTCGCTATTATTATTTCTGTTGACGGGTTCGTCGTCAGTTGCGTGGCTGAAAAACGTGGTTTGTTTCTGTGTAAAGTGTCACGTTGTCGTTTACGTGCTTTCCGTAATTTTTCTTTTTGTTTTAATATTGCTGGCATGCTTGTAGTAGTTATCCCCTTTCGAAAGCCTGGCTCTTTCTTAATGTAGCCTAATTTTCCGTCTGCTAACCCCTGTGAAATAAGTCCTCCTTCATCTGCAACTTCTCGCACTTCCCACTCGTTTCGATCCTTTATTGCTTGCGGCGGCGGCGAATTCATTTCGTTAGGCTCCTCTGATTCAGAGTCCGCATCGCCATTTTCTTGACCTTCTGTACTCATATCTGAACCTTTTTCACTATTTTTACTGTGATATCGTGTCTTTTTTCGTGTTATAACGTTCGAGTTATCTGAGTCGGTGCCATGGATTCTTATTTTCTTCTAATTACCTTGAATTCTTTTCTTACGAGTTGCCCGTACATTAAATATGCGCGCCGGTGGTCCGTCGCTATCAGCCGGTTTTTCATTCTCTTCTTCGTCCGCCAGCTGATATAACTCTTGGCGAGGCCGTTCGGGATTCACTTCCCCCTCTTGTAGTACTGGGTTTCGTGATAATGCGTCAGGTGGTCTGTTGTTTACGCCCGGGTGGTATACAACTTCGAACTCATACCCTCTCAGTTCCGCTTTAAGTCTGTTAAAACGAATATCAAGTTTTTTAGACGAATGAAAATGCTTAAGTGGCTCATGGTCTGTAACCACCGTAAACTTGCGTCCGTATAAATATGGTCTAAATTGCTCTTTTGTAAATACAGTTGCCAATAGTTCCTTGTCGTAGGTCGGGTAGCGGAGTTCACTCCCTTTAAGACAGCGAGACGCGTATTCGCACGGTCTATCTTTTCCAATTTCTCCCTGACTAAGAATCGCTTCGATCGCGTAATCTGATGCGTCCGTCGTAACGATAAAAGGTTTTTCCAAATCTGGAGCGATGAGTACAGGTCCACTGCACAGTGTATCTACGAGAGTTTTAAACGCCTTCTCCTCTTGGTCACCCCATTTAAATGCAGTGCCTGCTTTTAGGAGACTCGAAATAGGCGGGGCAATTCGTGCATAATTTTTGACAAATCGCCTGTAGTACCCTACGAATCCTAAAAATTGTTTTACTGTCTTGACGTTTGTCGTTCGAGGATAATTTCTAGCCGCTTCAAGTTTCTTGGGGTCAGTCATTATTTGTCCATTGCCTACGATGTGACCGAGAACTTTTGCTTTTTTTTTCAAGAATTGACACTTTTTAGGTTCAATCGTAAGGTTTGCAGCTGCCAGCCGTTTTAATAGTTTCGTGAATCGTCTCTCATGTTCCTCAAGGTCAGGGACAAAGACCATTATGTCATCAAGATACACTTCTATTTCATGGCCTTGTAATCCTGCGAGTGCTAGTGCAATAGCCCTTAGAAATGTGTTTGGCTAGTCTTTGCACCCCATTGGCATTCTCTTGTATTAGTAGTGCACGTCTGGGCCTGAGAATGCTGTCTTATGAGCATCGTCTTCGTGAATTTCCACCTGGGAAAATCCCGATTTGAGATCTACTACCCCGATGTAACGTGCCGACGCTAGGTTCTCTAAGATATCACTCTGAAACGGTAGCGGGTAACATGAGCCTACCGTAACTTCGTTTAGTAGTCGAAAATCCGTGACTACTCTCACTCTTTTTTCATTTTTTGGCCCCGGTTGTTTTGCCACTATCCAGGTGTTCGAGCTATGTGGCGAGGTGGAGGGTTCAATTATCCCTTGTTCAAGCATTTTCTTTATTTCGATTTTCATCTGATCCCTTATCGCCGGTGGATATATAAATCTTTTCGCCACGATGGGTTTGTCTGACGTCGTTATAATTCGATGTTTTAATAGGTGTGTTGCCTTGAGAGGTTGTCCATCAAGGCCAAATACGTAAGGGTTTGACTCGATCAGTCTTCTCACATGTTCTATTTCTTCATCGTTGCAACCGGCTGTGTCTACAAGTTGCATTATCTTGTCCACCCAATTTTGTTTCTCTAACTCCTTTTCGTTTTTCGAAAAATTTTCCGTTTTTTCTTTATCATAATTTTTTCCCTCATTAAATAACCTTATCACTGCTTCCCCTAAGCTTTCGACATTGTCTCCTTCAACGTCTTTTCTGTGATCCCGGTAAATTTCTTCTTAATCTAGCAGCTCTACTTCCGGAACAGGCACGTATTTTATCTCTTTACTCATATTAATACATTCTGCAACTATTTTCCCGTTAATATTTCTCGCTATAAAGTTCCCAAATAATATTCCTTTCTCCATCTCTTGGAGGGATATCCAGCCATATTCAGCTTCATTCTTGCTTTTTATTATTTGCGCATAAATTATTTGTCTCGATTTCGCAGGTATTTTAAAACACTTCGGCTTTAACAGTGGTATCTCTACATCATCTAATCTAATCATATTTTCGGTGGCGCTTATCTGGCCCCGATATCGCTTAAAAGTATCCCACCCTATGATTCCTTTCGCGTCAATAGGGAAGTCATGTGGGACAACATGTAATGTGCACTCCAGCCCTTGTAACTGAGCCTGTACTGTGACCAATGTTTTGCGTGCTCCGTGAGTCACGCCAATAATAGCCACTCGATACCTACTGTCTATGCTAAAAAAATTTTCCTTTATAATCGAAATCTCTGCGCCTGTATCTGCATAAAAAGTCGCCTTTCCATTCTTTAACTGTGGTCCCCGTAACTGGACCCATAGTGGCATATGCCCTGTTCCCGAAAGTTTTATAGTTATTTTGGAAAGTTGCTCTGTTTCTTCATCACACTCTAAAAGCTTGGGTTCGTCATTCTCTATATATGTGTCCGGCGCCTTTACCCGATTACTCTTTCTGCGGGCCCTCCTGCCTTTCCTCGTGCGTCTGCCTCCCTGTTGTGTAGGAGTGTCTTCGCACTCTGTAGTATTGCATTTTATACTTCCCTGCACTGCGTAAGTATTGGGGCTGTTCATGTGCGATTCTGCCTCCACTATTTTTTGCTCCGCCTCTTGCGGCCTCTCTCTCGCACCTTCTCTCTCGCCGGGCACGCTTCTCTCCGTTTCTTTCTCTAATTCATGTTCGACGTTTAAGAAGCACGCCGAACATCTTGCGAGTTTACAGCTGCGGGTGCGTCTCTCCTATTGTCAGGACCGTATGTGCCGTTTTCTCGCTGCTGTGAGCCCCCATCCTGTGGTGGTCCGTTCCTAACTGGGTCCCTGTTATAGCCGTTCCTGCTGTCTTGATTCTTATTGTTGTTTCCATAACGGTTAAATGTTTCCCCGTTGTTGTTATTATAAGGGTCACCGTAGCCGCGGTTGGAGTAATAATCACTGCCCGTGGGATTGTAGTTATTGTACCTGTTATTGTAATCATTCCTATCATTATAATTGGTATTTCTATAGTTGTAATTGCTGTTTTCGTTATTTCCAGTATTGTAATTGTTGTTTCTGTTATTGTAGTTGTTGTTCATGTTGTAGTAGTTATTATTCCTGTTATAAGGCTCTGTTAGGCAATTCTTATAGCCCCTGTTATAATTATTATTCTTATAATTGTGAGCATTATCATTTCCATTCCCGTAATTATAGGCGTTTGTGTTGGTATTGGTATTGTCTACGGGTTGGTTATGCCCCTCGTTTCGTTGTCTCTCCTCCTTCTCCCTGTCTGGCTTACGTGAGCGGCAGTCTCTCGCATAGG